ACCACCACCCAACATATACCCACCCCCACACCACAGAGTTAACCTTGTTTAACCTTTGGATCAAGGAAAGCCATCACTGACCTTGAGCAGAGAGGTCAGGCTCTTCACATACTTAGAACAAAAGTGCTTTGCCTTCTTAGCACTTACCTCAGTGTATAATTATGTAAAATGCACATTAGATATAATTTGAAAATTTTCACCCCCTAAAATCACGCTATAAAAAAGAGGGACTTGTTTTTATATTCCAGTCATTCTAAGGTCTCTCACATTAAAGGCCATTTTCTCAAGTACTTCATTTTGAACAACAAAGTACCATTTCAAGAAAACAGCCTAAGATGATCTCTAATAATGCTTATTTATGTTCTTAAGATCGTCACCATGACAATAAAAAAGGAGATAAAGATATTGAAAGCAGATTAGTAATTATTCTTGAGGTATGACTTCATTGCAAATGTTGGAACTGAACAATTTTAGAAAGCCACACTTTACAGACTACAGTGGATTCAAATAAGCCCTTTTTAAAGAGCCCTGGTAAAAGCGACCGAGTAAGCAATTACATGGAGAGATCCTTGCCAGGGAGTGAGAATGCCTGCATGGGGATCCAATGTGCAGCGTCAGCAGCTTTCCAAGATGTGCACTACAAACAACATCCAGAGGATTGATGACATACTTGCGTGAAGTAAGTACAGAGTGGATCCAGTGAGCAAGGCACTGATGTTAGAGTTGCATATAGAAAGCTTTAACGAAATTATTTCATGAAATATGAGAATGTTAATCAGGATGAGAAGCATCTTTTTTACTCTTTATAAATGTGGAAATAAAACCCCATTTCTTTTTTTTCTCTTTGGGAATTCAGTGGTTCACATTTATACAATAATGCTTATGAGGCCTTCGTTTACAACTGGGAGAGTCCAACTTGGAAAAAGCCATTCTTATTAGAGTTAGAGCTCATGATGAAAAATAGTAAGAGAACTACTACACTCTGAGCAGTTAAAGTCACTATTATTTCAGTTAATCCTACAATCTTAAGAATTTCCTGTTATCTCCATTTAACAATTAGGGGGAAGTGAAGCTTGTCAAGCTTAACAGCCAACCATTACCACTGTTCAGATACTGTTATAAGAGCCTCACATACACTATCTCATTCAATTCCCAAGATGACTTTATGACTATTGTTATCATCGCTATTTTACATATTAGAAAACAGAGGCAAAAACTCGAAAGTATGAGGGCCAGGATTAGAGTCCAGGCCGCCTGCCCCAGAATCCCTCTAGATAACCACCAGACCATCACACATCCTGAAGTTGGGAGGAGGCGGTGGGAACTGGGAAAATGGATTTATTCCGGGTGTGAAGTATGTGCTATGAAGTGAGGTCATTTTTCTTTCTCTTTCATTGTCTTCCCAGTTGTTTTTCCCTTGCACGCCACAGTAAACTGGTCGCTGTTTTAGTAGTTTCCTTGTTCATTTTCTTAACATCTATTCATTGAATCTTTAAAGGAAACATTTAACTGCTGCAATTGGTATACATAACATGGTTGCATAATAGGAAGGAAACAAGCCAGGACTAGAGACTACATTTCTAAAGAAGGATTTTAAAGCAGGCTAAGAGTTATTTCACAGAGTGGTCACGAAACTCGAGTCTCTCCATACCCTTTCATTGCTATGACGACAGGCGGCTCCTGCTACATGTAGCCAGAAAAAGCAGCTGACATTTCAATGATAGGAACATGGGGGGAGAGGTTTACAAAAACAAAAACCAAACCCTCTGGTTTGAATTTCAGTTAGAGAGGAAAACTACCCCCTAGAGCAAGTCAAAACCCCTATTATTGCCTTTAGAAAAGATAAGAAAGGAGAAATGCTGGGGCCGTCTCCCCTGTCCAAGTAGGCCAATAAAAGAGAATTAACTGCAAAGCAGCATTTCTTCTCACTCTCCCTAATGGCAATCCGAAACAGAAAACTCTCTTTGGTTTCATTTGACTTGGCCATTAAGAATCAACTAATTGATGAAGCATAAAGACTCACAGTTATACATGCTTCATGTTGAGGCCCCCAGGGGAATACAGTAGTGTCAGATTTTTTTTTTTTTCATTTCTTTGGGTAAAAAAAGATAATTCATTTAAAGAATATTTCTTTCTTGGTCCCCAGTTTTACTACCAGAAAAATGACTCCAAGTGCATAACCAAACACTGTGTGTTCAGTACTCTGTCAGGAGCTATATTTAGCATTAAAAAAATTCATTTAATTCCTACAAAAACCCAAGTTGTGGGTTGTATTATCACTATTTGCTTCATAAATGGGCAAGCTGAGTCTTGGAGGTGTGAGGTGAACGTGATAACCACTACACTACGGAAACAACTGCCTAGGAGGTGTGATGTGACTGCCAAGCTCACATCACAACCTGTAAGGGGCAGAGTCAGGATTCATATCCAAGAGTGTTAGACTCTGAGCCCATGCTCTATCCATGCTGCTGTGCTGACTCTGAGGCAGAGACTTGGCATTGACATTTTATTACACAGCAAAGCTTGTACATATAAGGAAGAAACCCCAAGGGAAAACCTGGCGCTAACTCCCTTTCCACAGGGTTCCATTCAGGACATGTAGGTAGGCTAGTGCTTTAATATTAGCTATGATCAATTGATCACTTCATATGTACCAGGAGTAGCTGTTTTCTTCACTAAATTATTACAACGTGTTTCTAATGTTATGATCCCCACTTCCACAAATGAGGGAACTGAGGCGCAAAGAGTCCTTTGTCCAGAGCCTGGTAAAGCCCAGATGTGAACCAGGTCGGGATGCTCCCAGAGTCTTATTCACTTTATTATACGACCTACCCACAGTCGCTCTGTTCTCCAGAATTCTACCTTTTTAAATATATATATATATATATATATATATATATATATATATATATATATATATATTGATTTCAGAGAGGAAAGGAGAGGGAAAGAGAGATAGAAACATCAATAACATCAGTGATGAGAGGGAATCATTGATTGGCTGCCTCCTGCATGCCTCCTACTGGGGATCAATCCCGTAACCCGGGCCTGTGCACTTGACGGGAATCAAACCCGGGACCCTTCCATCTGCAGGCCGATGCTCTATCTACTGAGCCAAACCGCCTAGGGCTGTCTACCTTTTGATGCCCAGGACAAAAACCAGGCTAGCCCCAGGTGGACCACCATTGCAGACTCAGCTTTTGGGGGAAGATGCCCTGTGGGCCCTGCATAAATGAGACTCTGGCCTAGTTGGGCATCTCTTGGGCAGCTAGGTCTACTGGGGAAATTCTCCTGGATATATGGGGTCCCCTTCTCCTTCGCTAAGGGTTGTTACAGAATGATATGTGAGGTTAAAGGGCACCTGAAGTCTTTTAACAACAGTTTTTTATGTTCTTGGTGAAAAAAGATTCCCAACATGTTTGGAACATTGTGCTAAACTTCACTAAAATAACAGTGTTTGCATAGTCTTACAAATCAACTGAATAAAAATAACACCCAGGCAAGAGGAAAAGAAAATGAATAGTTTTTTGGAGTCATCCAGATACATCACTATTTATTTTATTTTTGTCATTGCTATGTATTATTTTTACTTAGTTGATAACTGAAACTGCTCACGAGAAACTATTGGGGATTATATCCCAAAGGACCTGGAAAGGAAATCCAACACTCTAATTGCTAAATGGCTGTACAGAAAGTTCCTGAAAGAAAAAAGGCAAGATTTATTAATAACATGTACATATTCTTTTCCAAAATGTGGAAAGCAGCATTAGTTGATTGGATGATAAGTAGATGAAACCCATGGCTTGGCTTTGCTAGATCTTGTCGAATGAAGAGAAATATGTACTTAAATCTTCCCAAGATGGGCGTCCCCCCCCCCCTTTTTTTTTTAATAGTCCTCGTTAACAATGTTCATAACCATCAAGGTTTAGCGGAGAACTGAAAAAGCTGGAATCCATGAAAAGGTGCAATTAAAAAAAAAAGATTTCTGCTGCGTTGGACCAAGGGAGCATCTCTATTCGGTGCACTTTGGCCCTGGGCCAGAGGACAGCTCGGCTACAAGGCCAAGGTGACATATTTAACCTCTTTGCAGATTAAAGGCTGTACAAGAGAGATACTCTTTCTGCAGTCCCTCTTGGTTATACTATCAACAGTATCGATCGGCAGCTGAGAGCATGGTTTCCTCCTGCAGGGTGACCTCTAATACCGGGAGGAATGAGTGAGCATGACTTGCATTTTAATTTTTATTTTAGAAGATAGAGCAAGAAATGATAGTGCCTGACAATATAAGAGCTGTCATAACCTCTTTAGCTCTTTGAGTCCCCTCCCTCTTTCCCCCTTCTTAAATAAGACATCATTGGGAATTAGAGAAATTTTATGTAAAAATGAGAGAAGGAAACAAGAGACAATTTGTCATAAAACTATAAGAGTGAATCAGGAAAGGAAAAATAGTCACAATAACTAAAAAATAATCAAGGATGAATACAGTATTAGGGATTTGTCTACCTTTTGGAAAAGCAAAATGGTCCATTTCTACATTGCTGTTAAGTACAGACTGGGGCAATGGTGGTGATGAATAACTTCACATGATTTAGATATGAAAAATGCACAAATTGCTTTGATTTGAAAGTTTTTAAAAAGACTTTCATTATGATTTATTTAGTATAATTAGTAAAGTATTTCTACAAAACACAGCTCAGGGTTCAGACTTAACCAAGATCTGAATGAAATTCTAGCTGACAATAATTCTACATTTCTATTCTTGCTCTATACTAAAACCATCATTTATTAGTACTTGCTATTTAATCTTAGAGAAGAAAAGGAAACATGAATACAAGAGTTAAAATTCCCTATTAAGTAGCTTTTCTATAAATCATACAAAAGTTTAAAAAAAATAAATGAATGGCTTTGTATTAGGCAAAAATCTTAGATATTTTTATCAGATCATGCAAATCAGTTAAGCACATGCAATTAGATGATCGAGTAAACTTGTTAAAATTTACCTTCAGGTAGGCGGCTGGACCCAGAGCCTTAGCAGAAAATGGAAGTTGAATCCCCTCTTTGCACACAGCCAGTGAATGAAAGTTTGACAAATTCCCAATACTCTTTAAATCTCTTCCCTCATTAGCTTTGCTTCTTTGCACAGAAACACATTTGAGCCTACTGGAGTTGCAATTCTGCCGCTCTGTCAACTAGTCAGGGTCTGAGGTGACGGACCAGTTAGGAGGTGGCACCGGGTGTATTTCAGACTGTCATCGCTTTTGTTGCAGATTCCTGCAGTTCTCTGGCAGGCTGGCCTCTCGCGAGGGAGCGATGAGCTTTATGAGCAGTGCAAACCAACAGGGAGAGAGTTAACAGTCTTCCCCTCAAGCTCTTGTTCTCAGAAGCTCATAACTTGGCCAGAATATAAGCGCTTGGCTCTTTATGCATTTTTTCCCCTCCAAACAACTCTAAAAGGTTTTATAAGCAGGATGCCTTTTTAGGGGATTTTTATTTTAAGACTTTGAAAAGAAACTCCATGCTGTTCTTTCTTCCTAAAGGAAATTAGAGGTGGGGGTTAAGAAAGGAGAGAAGAATTGTAGCAGATGCATTTCCACATTGCTTAATTGGAAATTATTCTCAGGAAAACAGTCTGAATTTTAATAATAGCAGGGTACTTGAGATACTTTAACCTTTCTGTAAATGACCTTCAGAAATTTATGTATGTACAGAGCACCACTCCTTCATATTACAGATCACTTGTATGCTGATTCACAAATGTTGCAGGTCATAAACTATTCTTCCCCAACACAACTCCTTACTGAAACCCCTTGTATAATGACTGGTTTATAAGAAGGATTTTTCCCATAAGTAGGCATGCATTTAGTTTTGATTTGACATTCTTGTTATTTATATATGAGTCTGATCTCCTCTACTGCTACTTCTACATTTATTGCACATTTATAATGCTCCAGACACTGTGCTAACATATTGGTTATTGTTAATCTTCACTGGAGGATATTTCCCGTTGATTTTTAGTAAGAATGGAATGAAAGGGGAGAGACAGAGAGAAACATTGGTGTGAGAGACACATTGATTGGTTGTCTCATGCACACACCCATCCAGGGCCAGGGATGGAGCCTGCAACTGAGGAATGTGCTCTTGAATGAAATTGAACCCGGGACCCTTTGGTCTGTGGGTCAACACTCTATCCATTGAGCCAAACCGGCTAGGGCTGTGCTAACATTTTTTTAAAAAAATATTTTTATTGAGTTCAGAGAGAAAGGGAGAGGGAGAGAGAAAGACACATCAATGATGAGAGAAAATCATTGATTGACTGCCTCCTGCATGCCCCCTACTGGGGATTGAGCACTAAGCCTGGCGTATGTCCTTGACCTGGGACTCGGCTGGGGCTGCTCACATTTTTTAATGCATTATTTTAGTTGGTCCTCACAATCTATATGAAGTGAGTATTAGTAAGTTCCCACTTGAGGGAAGTGTGTATAGTGGTAAAGTATGCATGCTTTGAGGCCACGCATCCTGGGTTTGCATCCTGGGTCATACACTTCCTAAATGTATGACCTCAGAAAAGGTATATAACCTTCCTAAGCTTCAGCAGCCATATCTATAGCATGGGGCTGTGTTGAGTTAGTCAACCTCTAGGCTATAATACCTCCTGAGTGAGCTATGAGCTAGTTGAGGGTAGAAATGTGCCCCCTCTCTATTCTCCATGTGCCTAGCACAGTGCTTTGCATACTGTAAGTGCTTCATCAACATGGGGTGAATGATTGTAATGTAATTTAATTTAGATTTCCTACATTTATGCCCAATTCAGGCCAAAAGCAAACCAACAACAAAAATAAATAAAAACCCACCTCTAGTTCTAGGTAAATCTGCCTTCAACAGTTGCCTCCAAGCACTTTAGAAACCTTTGCCCTGTTTAATTTTCAGAACACCACAAGAGAAAGGTAACGAGAATTATCTCTCTTTTGCAGTTGGGGAAATTTGGGAGCAGAGGAAACTGGGCAATTTGCCCAGGAACTGAAAACAAGTCATGGCGCAGCTGGGAAGAGTCTCACGCCTCTAGAATCAGGATGACTTGTTTCAAGCTGCCTTTCCAGGCACAGGATGAAATGACGTGATGTCCTTTTGCCTCAGACAATGGGATGTTTTTCCTCAGCCAAGGTCTGGGGTGTGGACAGTCTCCTTGGAGAACAGATCAAAGGGGTAGGCTGTATTTGACTTTGTTTCTCTGCCTCTGTGCACATCTGGGTCTGAGAAGTGCGGGAGACACAGACACCATTTCCCCAACACTCCTGAGGGCCACCGGTGTGGCGGGACTATTGCAGGGTATGCAGGACAAGTATTTCTCAAGATTTTGCCCAGTTTAGCTAAGGGAAATTTTTCTTGGACCCACAATGTCAACTCCTTATTCTACTACCATTCCCCACTTATTTGAGATAATTCTACGAGATTTATTTTAGGTGATTTATTTTAGGTCAATGAGAATATAGAGAAAGTTTTAGCTAGAGGGCAATGGAAAAAAAGATTTGACTGACGAACATATTTTTTCTAATACAAAAATTGGTATTTTATGTTTCTATGAAGTGACTGAAATGAAATTTCTTATAGAAATTTATGTTAAGATAAAAAATAATTTGGTTAGAGAAAACTGGATTTATCTCTTACTAGTAAATGTAAGTATGTACCTAGGGGGTTCATTTGTAGATGGCAAAGCTTGAGAATTTCAACTCTGTTATGCTGAATGTTTTCTCTAGGTCTTATTAACTTACAACACTGTATTTCTTTTTTTCACTGTATTGCTTACAAATAGAAAATATAAATTTTTTTAAAATCCTAACCCCAGGATATGTTTTCCATCATTTATAGAGAGAGAAGGAGGAAGAAGAGAGAGAGAGGGGGGGGGGGAGAGAGAGAGAGAGAGAGAGAGACATAGATGTGAGAGAAGCAGTGATCATAATCAAACCCACAACCTTTTGTTGTATGGGACGATGCTCCAACAAACTGAGCCACCTGGCAAGGGCACAACAATTTTGAAACAATAAAAGGACCTTGAATCCATAATGTCTTTTAAGTATGGTTTTATTTTGGGAATGTTCATGGGCAAATATCCAAACTCTTATTGTTTCTTGCAGCTGTCCTTTATAAAATACAGTTCATGAAGCTGAGGACAGTAAACCTACAACAATACTCATTTAACAAATAAAGTTGTAGCTCAGATTTAGAAGCTTATCCAGTGTCTAAATGTGATGGGAGAACTTTGAGTAATAAAGAACTTGTCACATTACTGCATGGGAACTGACCTCTATAACATCAGTATTGGGGAGAAGGGTTTAATAAAGTCAACAACAAAGCGTACATATTTTTTAACCTTCTAGTGCTATGAGTCCCTTTGAGAGTTTGTTGAAAGCTGTGGGTAAGCTCCTAAAGCCTAGCTATGAGCTCCTGCACTCAGGGGTTCCATGAAGCTAAGATCTTCTGATTCAAGTGAAGGACTAGAGAACCCAAGAGTCAATCCTCAAGCACTGAATGAGGCTTTTTGTTATACGTAGCACAAGTTTCTGGGTGACATGAGAGAATATCATTATTCCTGCCTATTAAGGGTGTAAGAGGCAAGGCATGTACTCCTTGTCAGAAGAGGCATGGCTCCCTGGGAGTAGTGGAAATTCCCAGGAGGTAGTGAGTATAGATGAAGGAAAGTTGCAATGAAAATAGTGTGGATAATTACCTTGGCCAGGAGCCAGCATGTAGGACCCTCCTTGCTTATACCATGTACTAGTTTTCTAGGGATACCATAACAAAATACTGCACAGTGGGTGGCTTACATAACAGAAATTATTTTCTCACAGTTCTAGAGGCTAGAAGTCCAAGATCAAGATGCTAACTGGGTTGGTTTCTCCCCAGACTTCTTTCCTCTGCTTGTAGGTGGCTGTCTTCTCACATGGCCTTTTCTCTGTGCTCATGCATCCCTGGTGTCTCTTCCTCTTATTATAAGAACACAAGTCTTATTAGATTAGAGCTCCAACTTATGACCTAATGTAATCTTAATTAACTCTTTAAAGGCTCTATCTCCAAATTCAGCAACATTGGGGGTTAAGGTTTTAACATATAGGATTTTGGGATGGTGGTGGGGGACACACAATTTAGTTCATAACACCTATAGGAAGGACCCTCCTCCTTGCTTACACCATGGGCTAGTTTGCTAGGGCTACTATAACAAAATACCACTCACTGGTAACTTAGATAACAGAATTTTTCACATGGTCTTTATTCTGTGGTGCCTGTAGCCTAAGTTCTTCTAAGGACATCAGTCATATTTGTTGACCTAATTTAAAGGTCCTATCTCCAAATATCGACAATTTCTGAGATACCGGGGATTAGGACTTTAAAATATGAATTTTTGGGGAACACAATTCAGTCCATAACAGGAATCATTCTTCCTTTTCCTTGAAGAATAACACATGTTTGTAGCCATAATAAATGTTGGAAGTCTGACAGCCTTTATTTCATTCTGTCCCTCTTCCTGCTGGTACAACATTCTCAAGAAATTGTTGGTCTCCTGTGCACTCTATAGGGGTCCAAACCATCAGAAAAGAGGGTTCTTTCTAGATAAGTCCATCTGTATTTCTGGCTTCTGCTGAGAAGGTTGACCAGATCCATGGGTCACATTCACAAGCCTTGCTAGCAGAAGGTTGTCCAGCTATACCCTTGATGTTCTTTCGCTATCTGAAGGCTGAGAATTTTCAAAATCATTAAGTTCTGGTTCATTTTTGCTAAGTAGCTTCTTCCTCCACTTATCTCTTCCCTCTCACATCTACACTAATAAAAGAGAAACATGGTAATTGGTGTACGACCGCTACCCTTCCCATTGGCTAATCCCCTGTCACTCACAGAGTAGGGCCGAGATATGCAAATTAACTGGCAGCCAAGATGGCGGCCGGCAGCCAGGCAGCTGATGCGAACAGGGAGGCTTGCTTGCTTCAGTGACGGAGAACTCCAACGTTCCCCGCCTGACTTGCCGGACTCTCAGCTGCAACTCTCAGCAGCTATGCTGTGAATAAAGAATCTAAAAAACCCCCAGAAAGCTGCTTTACTCAGCGGGGCTTCAGCCAGCCGGACCGCAACATTGTATCAAATACAGACGGTAAACAAAGGCCAGAAACCTGTTTTCAGCAGCCGAGGCCTCAGAGCTAAAGCTGGCCCATAATAAAAAAAAAAAAAGAAAAAAAGGAGCAGTTGGGAGTTTCAGTCCCAGCCTGAAAACAGCCCTCAGCCCCTCAACCAGGCTGGCCAGGCACCCCAGTGGGGACCCCCACCCTGAAGGGTGTGTGACCAGCTGCAAACAGCCATCATCCCCTCACC